CTAATAGTTTGTATACGGAGTCCGTTCCGAATAAGATTTTTAGCTATCGGAATTCGGATTGATGTTTGAATACGTGGATGTTAGGTGTCACTTTTATACAAAACAAAATTCCGTTACGTCATTGATAATGGCGTCAAAACCATATGATCGGAAGTGACATGTTCAACATGACAGGAAATGACGTCATCTAGCGCGTTGCAAAAAGTCGTTTCGACTCATTTATAATCATAGTTGTTCATCAGCAAGGTAATGGATTTTCTTTTGACAGCTGCCACATGCGCCTCTGAGGACATAGGTCTTTCTTTGCGTACCAAATACGCTAATACTCGTAGCTAAGAGACAGTTATCCCTAAAGCTTTCATATCATGTAGAATTTATATGTAATCATACGTTTTTTATAAATAAGAAGATGTGGTATGAGTGCCAATGAGACAACTATCCATCCAAGTCACAATGTGTAAAAAGTAAACAATTATAGGTCAAAGTACGGCCCTCAACACGGAGCCTTGGCTCACACCGAACACCAAGCTTTAAAGGGCCCCAAAAAGACTAATGTAAAACAATTCAAACAGGAAAACCAACGGTCTAATCTATATAAAAAAAACGAGAAACGAGAAACACTTATGAACCACACCAACAAACGACAACCACTGAATAACAGGCTCATGACTAAAGACAGGTGCATAAAAATGCAGCAGGTTTAAACGTTTCAACAGGCGCCAACCTTCAACCTAACCTGAAACAGTGGTATAAAATTACAACATAAATAGACACACAATAAAATATCAATTGAAATGGCTTAACTCGATCAATAAGACAATACACAAAAACAAGTAAATATACACTGAACGAATAAGTTTGATCTATGACACAATATAAATAAAAAAGATGTTTCAATGTCAAAAAGACAATTTAAACCTAAGACAAAATGGCGTTAAAAAAAGTAACGTACACAGGTAAATTTAAAAATAATAATTTTGTTGTTAGGAGTACAGAAACATTTTTTACAAAATTTGTTATTCGTAGTACGAGAACAGAAGTGAACATTTTTTAGTCATATTAAATACTTATCAAAGGTGGTACATGTTAAAAATAATGAGACGAGATATAACACAAAATAAGTAAATATTGAATAACAGAAATGCATTATAAATTATGTCAACGGGTCAAATTAACACGAAAGTACGATTTGAGAGTACTCGTTTCCTGTTCAAACATCAAATGCTGTAAAACTATTAAATGACACAAGTAATTGAACAGTATTTAGGATTGCGACTGCCGATGCGAGTCCAATATGGTCAAAGGACGTCCGTTGACGACTGCTAAACTTTAATGAAATGACTCGTTGGGTAACAGTAGCAGCATGAAGGATACGCGAATTTTGAGCAACGCCAAACCTATAAAAAGGGCTGTCATCAGAAGTCGCTTTTTGTCATTGACTTTCCGCGCATGCATTAAACCAGGTTTTTGTCACGAGCTTGATGACGTGATCTTCGCTCACTTAGTCTTAGACGTTGTAATTGGATGTTTTACTTGCAGTTACATGGTATGTCTTATGATAACCGATGAAATCACTGATCTACCATACGGACACACCTGAATACGATTTGAGCCACATACGATATAGATCTACTTCCTTCGAAGAGCCAAGCAAACAGGCGATTGTCCAAGGTATTAGCCCCCAGAAATCCCTTTTGGACACCAGGAGTTTAATCACGCATATGGTGTACCAACTTCCATAACTAGAGCGGACCACGCTTGTTACCTCAGTTCTGTTCATTTATTCATAGATAAGATAACATAGGAAGCGATAACAGGAATTGCCAAAAATACCGCATTGCATAACAGACCAAATCAATCAAAAACACCCGACTCCTTTGAGAGAAAAAATCTAGCAAAACAACAAATAGTTAAGATAGCCTGACTTGGTATAGGCATTCAATGAGCAGAGGTAGAAACTGTTTCACGTGCGCCTAAACATTCTCCTTCGTTTAGACAAAATGTCGTAAAACCACAATAAGGAGCATATATAGTGCAGCTACCACCAACTTGAACAAGGGAATAAAAAAAAGAAAAGAATCATAATTTACAAAGTAGGGTAACGATGTACTTGCTGCTTCACGAAGCTGCAGCGTTTAATGTTGTATTCCAGATGCGTGTTTCGGATACACAAAAAGATGGCGCTCGCATAAAATAGTTGAAATGGCAAATCAAAGAAGAAGTTGAAGAGCATTAAGAAGAAAAAAATCCCAAAAAGTTATGACAAATCTGGCAAAGGTCATCTGTGCTTTGGGGTAGACAAACCTTAATGTTATGATCAATTAATTTACAAAAATGTCAGTACGCGAGTGATGACTTATTGGCTAGTGATACCACGTCAGGTTTCATGAAGTCTCGTCATACAATTTGATAGACTATTTTCATATTTCCGACTTTTGACTCCGGATTATATAATTTTTAAAAATCAAACATAAAAAATAACCGATGCGATTATGGGGGATAGTTTACTGTTCTCTGATCATTTTGTCGTTTATAGAAAACATGAAACAGTTAATTTTTCGTCAAAATTGTACCGATTGTAAGCTTGACCACCTTTAATAAGTGTTTGGTATGACGATAAATTTTCACGTTTGTTCTCGTATTATGAACAACACAATTATTTATTTTGTAAAAAATATTTCCGAACTCCATGTATACCTTACAACAAAACAATTTTTATTTACCTGTGTACGTTATTTTACTTGGCGGCATTTTTTCCAAGGTTATGGTTGTCTTTCTGATATTTTTTTTTACATCTTACCCCCTTTTTTTTTTATTAATTTTGTATTTACATTGTGTCATAGATCAAATTTATTCGTTCAGTGTATGTTCACTTGTTTTTGTTAATATATCTTTTGATTGAGTTAAGCCATTTCAATTGATATTTTATAGTGTGTCTTTCTATGTTGTGATGTTACACTATTGTTTCATGTTACGGTGAAGGTTGGCGGCTATTAAAACGTTTAAACTCGCCGCATTTGTTTGCACCTGTCCTAAGTCAGGAACCTGATATTCAGTGGTTGTCGTTTGCTGATATGGTTCAAAAGTGTTTCTCGTTTCTCGTTTTTTATATAGATTAGACCGTTGGTTTTCCTGTTTGAATGGTTTTACACTAGTCATTTTTGGAGCCCTTTATAGATTGCTGTTCGGTGTGAGCCAAGGCTACATGTTGAAGGCCATACTTTGACCTATAATGGTTTACTTTTACAAATTGTGACTTGGACGGAGAGTTGTCTCATTGGCACTCATACCACATCTTCTTATATCTATTGATTTTACTTCTTTAAGTTGCTCTTAATTGACCGAGCGCCAGGATATCCTACCACTGAGTAGGTAACCTGTAGAAAAATATGAAGTCCGGAGTCAAAAGTCGGTAATATGAAAATACTAGTAGTCTATTGAAATCGGTAGTATTTTAAGGCAAATCGTCAGATCCACGGACAAAAGAACCAATTCTACTGAATTGTTGAGTGCCTGTTGACCTAGCTGTTGAAAGATGATTTCAGAAATTTCCGGGAAGAAAATACATCACTTTTCAGTGTTTAGTAAGCTTTATCCATTCACCCTGATCCCGCATTAGAGCTTGGGAAATGTACAAAAATTATAATAAAATAAAATTCCGCGAAATTCAATGAATGCTAGTGGCACATTAACGGCATTTCAAAATATGACGTCATACGATGAAATCTCCCAAGCTGAAGGTTATTCCGTTACGTGTACGCTCCAAATTCGGATAATATTGCATTTAAACGGAATTTTGAGGTAGTAGTTGTTTTATTTTCTATTCTATTCCATTATTTGCACATTTATACATTTCAGCAAGTCAACATGATGCTTCGCGCCTTTTTTACGACTGTGGATTTGTCGATTAATAGTTGCCAACGAAAATCAAATGTTTGGGTTGAGAATTATTAGGATTAACAAGTGAAACTGCGAGCTACTGATGATACCCCCGCCCAAATATGGATAATTTTAATAGTGTAAAAATATGTAAGCATGGTAAGTGTTCGGTAAACAGGTAGTTGTTGAGTGATGTATCTGAAAACGCATCACACGGTATAGCTGACTTATATAAAGCCTGAAACCAAAATGTAGTTCCTCAGAATGAAGCGACGAAAAATATTCATTGGACGGACAGACAGAGGTAAAACAGCATACCCCCACTTTTTTAAAGCGGGGGTATAATGACATTTTTTCTAGATCTTATTAGAAATAATTCATGCAAACCATAAACGTGTTTGACGTTTTTAGCTTCATCTTACAAGGGGTAAAATATAATAGCCACACACACACGGCACATTTATCTTCGCTTCAGTTTTTAAAATAGCCGAATTTCCTATTAGAATCGAATTAATCATGCAAGCCATAAATTTGTTATTATTTTCACATGGCCTTGGCAATGTGACCAACAAATATATGGCTAGGATGAATTATTTCGTAATTTTTAGTCTTTTGTAGAGGAGGTTCTTGAGATTGAGATTGAGAAGATGTCATAACTTTCGATTACGTTATTGTCGATAAATTATAGACTCATCTGAAAATAAGACATTAGCCGCCCGTATAAGATATACTTCTTCCTGTTACACATGGAAAAAATATTTTTAAGTTGGTCACATAGTGTCTTCTTGTCATATGATATGAAATCATGCATGACCAGAACTCAATTTCGGTAACGAGTATTCCGGCAGGTGCGGGTACATCTTATTGTACTACATAAGGACACTAGTTGATATTTTTTTTTCAGTTTTGTGTTTTTATACTTCAAATTAAAAGTTTTAATACCTTATTACTTAAAATTTCAATTTTGAACTTTGCAAGTTTTAAAAAGAACTAATGTTTTAAATTGATTAACAACAGTTACTGTTTCAGGTGATTCTAGCTTAGACAAATACAATCAAATAATCATTTCCCAGAAGTTAATATGTTGTGTATTTGTTATTTCCTTGTCTAAGTTAACAAACCTGTAGGACAGTTGGATAATACTAAAGTTGGTTCTCTAGCATCGCAATCAGGATGATCTGAAAGCAGAATTAAAAAAAAATGAAATTGTTTTAGAATGCTATGAAACTTTACGCTAATCCATCAATTACAAAAACTTTATTAGGTACGGTTTATTAATCGTATCTTGACTCATTGCTGAAGATATTCTAATGACTGGCATTATTGGCGTTAGTCTTATTTGGCAAAACTTGTTGGTATTTTCGATTTTCAAATCCACGTAGAAATTGATTTGGCATCTAACTGTTTTTATTTGAGTGCCACTGATAAGTCTTTTTTAGAGGAAACACTCGTCTGGAGGCCTGGTAAATATGATCTCTTTGTTACAAAAATGGAGCATTATCATATACAATTATTTCTTTATTTTGGTTTTTTGTATTTTGTTTGATTAAATCTAAGTTCAAAATTCTGAAATGTATTTGTTTGTTTAAAGTATTGAACATAGTTTTTATCCCATGAACACGAACTCTCACTGCTCTTATCAGATCAACAAATAAGATGCTGTCAACTGTATGATAGCCTCAGTAAATTATATTCCGATGTATGAAGTGGATGATGCATACAATTCTCTCAGTTCTGGAATAGTTAGATGTACATATGTTTAACTCAATTTAGAACTATAAGACGAAAAAACCATGTGCTGCTTTTTAATATTGTGTATTGCAGCACGGTTGTTGTTTGTTCCTTTGTCGTTTTTCTGTTGTTTTTTTTTCGATGATTTTGTCGGTTTCTCTTCCGCGTATGAGTTGATTCTCCCTCAGATATCTTCTGCATCTTGTTTCATAACCTCGAAATACCTTTGTGTACTAAGATTGCTGTCTGATGGCATATCCCCTTGAAATCATATACAAATTTTAAATGTATTTTATAATAAGACTTAAGTCTTTAACATTTAATCTTATCGAAAATGTTTTTGTCTTAACACTATTCCTGTTCCGATCGTATCTTTGTCTAGAAAGTCAACATCCTCTAACAACTGATAGAAACATCCCGAGTTTACTAATTGTCTTGTTGTTCTATTGCTGCTACATGTCGAAATCAACATTTATGATTGATTATAGATATATTCCAATACTAGTATACATAATTTTTTACCAATGTGCTGTTGGCAATTAATTTCGGACGGACTGCACCATTGAAAAAGCGGTGCCCTTCCAACTAGTGATGTAAGGCTTCGAAATTGACTTGACCTTAAACTATATAAGAAAGAGGCTTGTATCCGCCCCATGCACAATGAATTATAATGTCTTTCCTAAGTCCATTCAGAACAGTATTGTTGTCTTTAAACTGCAATCTAAGAATTGTTTAAATCCATTCATTGTATTACTTCGTTTAAAAGCAATGCTAAGAACTCCACTACAAAGTCTTCTTACTTTTAGCATGTTTAAAGGCGTGATACCATGATGTATCAAAAACCAATTCGAGATGAATTAAATTAAACGATTTATTTTCATTATACAATCGAAGTAACTAGTTCACATTTTACAATCACTAAATTAAAGTTCCAAAATATGTTTTGTCATTTGTTTTAGAAGCACTCCGCCCTGCCATGAATGGGTTTCCGCAAAGGTCATATATGTATGAGATTTTAGGAGTCAATTAGTAACTTTTGAGTAAGGTTTCTACAGTCAATGGTCGTATTTTATATATATTATGTTTAAAACCATAATTTGTTTTTGATTTTGCGTTTGATTTGTCAGTTTTTATGGACTTTTCCTTTTTTAATTTGCCTTGGAGTTCATTATTTTTGTTATACTTTTTTATGACTTTTTTATCAATTTATTTAATTTGATATCTAAACTCTGACAATACTGAATAGACTTGTCCATAATATATACCGATAATTCCTTTTTTACAGACAAGTGCCTGTGAAATTGAGATAAAGTAAAACATTATACAGTGTAATGTATAACACAAAAAAAATGAATTAATCGGGTTTATAACCGGGAAGACATGTCAATGGTAACTATACAATGATAAATTTAACAATTAGAGCCACAAAGCTTTTCGAAGAACATAACGGACGGACACCGAACGGAGATGATCTATAACACATCTTTTTAAGGGTAATTAAATTTGCAATACGTATATACACGGGTACAAGAGGATTTTCTCGATAGTTAAATTATCGGTGTAAAATATCGACAAATATAATTCCAACCCATGTGAAATTGAGCATAGAGCATGACATGAAGGAATTATTTCTTAAATTGAACAAGAGAAAAAGGACTGTCGTTGATAGTGATAAATCTTCTAAGTTTAAAATTAACATATGATAAAAATAATTTATTATTTGTGTATAATAGGCACATTAAATCAAAGTAAATATTGCTTTGTATGCTCTGCTTACGATATATGGGAAGGGGGACATATGTTTTCCGGTCTGTATGATCGTCTGTCAATTAGTTCATCTGTTCGTCAGTCCCGTATCACGTAAAAACGTAGATTTTTTTTTGTAATTTACAATGAAGTTGTGTTCACATTAACTTGAAAGGGTTTACATATTATCTAAAATATTATTATTATGAAATTACTGTGTCAGAAGTTTCGAAACCGAACATTACTTACCAATTTTTACTTATTGTATATTCTTTCATTAATACAATATTTGGTTTGGGGGTTTGTTTGTACATGCAAATCTAAATCTGTTGGAGGTGTTCTCTTTTATAATTTAGTCTCGAAGAACGTGTTTTATTTATTAGTTGATATTAAGCTTTGACCTAGCTTTCAGTAACTGCGAATACTTGGGTTTTGTTTTTTTTTTTTGTCTTTATGTTATTTGTTTTTGTGCTCGTTACTGATTTCATGCATATGCGTTAAGCCCTTATCATAGGATTTTAACATTTTGTTCTTATAATGTGATGTTATATCCCTGTTCCAGGCTAAGGAGAATTGAGCACTCATCATCAATGTTTTATTCTGTGTGTGCCTTTCCCAAGCCAGGATTTTGTGATCATGTGGTTATCGCGGGTTGCTGTCTGCTGTAACAAATTTTGTGTATTGTTGTAGTTTTCATCAGGCAGTTTCCTCCTTTGTATAGTTCATATTGTTTCATTCCGGTTTCTTTTAAAACTTTCATTAGGCATTGGGCTTTGTTCATTTTTGAAGGCAACATGTCTCTGATTGCATTTTTTACTTAGGTCTAATTGAATAGCCGTATCAATGCATATGGTAGTTATATCACTTCAGTTCATTTTTATACAAGTGGACATTAAAATGTTAACTATTTAGAATATATAATAAATATATGACAAAGTAATGTCTTGATGCAGATTTCGCCAAGATATTATGAACGGGGCATAGGGATCCTTTTTTGGATAATGTATTGTTCAACAATATAAAACTTACCATAAATTTTGCTTGTTATCAAAAATTTTGGTACAATTTTGACAGAAGTCGTATCAAGTTCGAGTTCAGAAGCTACAATGGAGTACAATTATAAAATACAGTCAAAATACACAGAATTTCTGCATCAAAAAGGCAAAAATAGACAGAATGGGTTGAAACTTAAGACATTTTATTCAAGGTCTTGTGCACTTCGTAAAAGTAACTTTTGAGTGTATCAGTAAAATAAATCGTAGTATAACTGTTCCTTAAAACCGCGTTGAAGTTATATAGGATTGTTTTACATTTATAAAGCTAACAAACACATCATAATATGTCAAACTATAACATAGAGAGAAAAATCCGTTTGCGCCAAAAATGCGTCCTTTCGTGCAATAGCTTATTTGCGCCAATGCTACGTTTGCGCCACTAGTTTTCAAAACACATACTAGTATCATTTGCGCCAAAAATGAAATATACGATTGCGCCAATTTAAAAATAAAAGAATTCCCTACTCCTTATTATATTAAATGTGGGAAGTCGAACTTCGGAAAACTCTTGAATACGATCTACAGTTCTATGTAAAGGAAAATCGATACAATATGCAGTCTTTATATATACATGTATGTATTGATCGTTGACATCTATGTCATGTATTTAGACGTATATATGTATGAAACATATTAGTTGTTTAAAATTTGTTTAGGATGCAAAACAATTTATACAAAATGCATATATCGTCTGATCAATACATTAACCTGCAAAAAAATACAACTCCAAATGCCTATAGTTTCAAGTATATCTCTCAAATTACTGTCTTTCATTTGTGTTGAATGACAGGAAGACAAACGAAATATGACTGAAACAATTAGAAACAATATGTACTGTTCTGATGACATTTGACTTCATACAGGAACTTCTTAGGAAGAGAGATAAGAAGTTAGCAATATCCTTTAACTCTACGTTCCGCTATATAGATGATGTTCTCTCACTAAATAATACAAAATTTGGTGACTATGTTGAACGAATCTATCCGATCGAACTAGAGATAAAGGATACTACAGATACAGTTAAGTCTGCCTCATATCTTGACTTACATCTAGAAATTGACAATGAGGGTCGGTTGAAAACAAAACTTTACGACAAAAGAGATGATTTCAGCTTCCCAATTGTGAACTTTCCATTTCTATGTAGCAACATTCCTGCAGCTCCTGCATAAGGAGTATATATCTACCAATTGATACAATATTCCCGGGATTGTGTTTCTTATCATGATTTCCTTGATAGAGGATTGCTGCTCACAAGGAAGCTATTAAACCAAGAGTTCCAAATGGTGAAGTTGAAGTCATCCCTTCGTAAATTTTACGGACGCCATCACGAGTTGGTTGACCGTTATGGAATAACCGTTTCACAGATGATATCGGATATGTTCCTTATGTCGTAACTACAATACCCTTCCCGTTTCACGAATGTGACTTACCGAATTAGACTATTTACCGGATTTGTAATAACATAAGCAACACGACGGGTGCCACATGTGGAGCAGGATCTGCTTACCCTTCCGGAGCACCTGAGATCACCCCCAGTTTTTGGTGGGGTTCGTGTTGCTAAGTCTTTAGTTTTCTATGTTGTGTCATCTGTACTATTATTTGTCTATTTGTCTTTTTATTTTTGGCCATGTCGTTGTCAGTTTGTTTTCGATCTATGAGTTTGACTGTCCCTCTGGTATCTTTCGTCCCTTTTTTACTAGGTCGCTGCGTCATTGACGTATACCAACGCATATCCTTTTATACATAATTAATGTTTAACATTATTTGAATATTTTGTCTGCTCCGTCAGTTTGCAAATTTTAAAAGCTGACACAACAACATACGAATTAAGCTGGATTAATTTGGATTTGATTTATTATGAGGAATATATTCTCAATTAAATGTTGAAAAGCTGAACATCTTTCAGGAATTAAATGAATTAATCTAAATGTTATTCATTTATAAAAGAGACCAATATAAAGAATAATTAGTATTATACAAATCAGAGAAAAACATATCATAGAAACTAAACAAACCATTCTTCATGGGAACACTGTCTTGTGTGGTAGCCACAAGTACTTTCATTTTCCTCGGATTAACTGTTGAGAAGATTCCAGCATAGAATAATGTTCTAACAGCATTTGTATATACAAGTTGGAACTCTTTGTAACTAAAAAAAAAAAGTAGAACATATTTGACCCAAAAGTAAAAGAAACATCACCGGTAGCTGAACAAAAAATTTACATTAAATATACACTAACGAGTTCTATGCGGAAAAAATATATCAGTCCATTTATTATGAATGTACGTTTTCCAATAAAAATTTTTAAAGACAATGTTTTACAATTCTATATTACATTACGGTGCCAAAATTATAACTGGACGTATCCGAACCATAAATTCACCTATCGTATGTAAATATATATGTACACAAAATGAATTAATCTAAAATCATTTCGCCAAAATTTACTCAAAGGACCATGTTTGGTGCCGTTTTTGTTTGGACACCCATTTGTATATGTCCTTGTGCATTTTCGCTTTCTAAACCTGTTTTAAAAGACAAGGCTAAGTTTGACATTATTCAAGCAAATTCGCAATGTCAACAAATTATTCTTAAGAGGTTATCATTTCAGACAAATGAGTTTTTAATAATTATGTATTACTTTGTCACAATGACAAAATTGCCAAATTGACAGTGTCTCATTCCATTAACCTGTAACGTTTAGCAATTAAAAATTTTCGAATGATTAAACAGTAAAATATCCAATATTTACAAAAATTTTGTTTAAGGTTATGACCTTTTTTTTCAAATAAGAGTGCACACGCTGCGATGTCCCGGCTTGTTTACTGGTCATGATTGAATTCATGTTGAAAGTCTTTAAATAAAGGTTTTACTACAAGTATCACACAAGTGAAAGTTGTCACTGTGAACAAATGCTCCCAAAACCGCACATTTATTGAGAGAAAATAAAAATAATTGCCATACATATATGCTCATATATGCTCTGTTGTGTATTCCAAGTGTTAATCATACTGGTATGCTTGGAGGAACAAAATAAACATGTACCATCATTGATAATTTTTCACATGTATAAATGTGTAACAATCCATAATGGGATAGTCGAGTTATCTTACAAAAACGTGACTAAGCAAAGACGATATGATCCGGGGAGTATAAAAATTCAGGTATTTAGAAACCAAAATTGTCACCAATACTTTCCAGAGCCCCAATATACAGAAACCCAATTTACAAAAACCCAATATACAGAAACTCAATTTTAAAAAACCCAATATACAGACAGACCTGCAGTCAGAGTATATTAATAAACAAATCGGGGATGGTTCACCTGACCCTGGCTTATCCGCAAGGTGTGAGGTCACTTAGCAATTAATATTGCTAAAAAAATTAATAATAACTTACATTTTCACAAAACCAAATTTTTCCAAACGTTACTCTATGTTGCAACAGTTGCCTTTAACTTTGACTTATTAATCCCAAAATCCATAGGCTTCTTTCATTCCATATTCATATGTATAAGGTTCATTCCAATCAAGCAAGGGACACTAAAGTTACTACAGAAACCATTTGTTTCGAACACACTGACGGATCGAAGGACAGACGGACGGACGGACGGACAAAACGACTACTTTATGCTCCTGAATTTTTTAGGAAGCATAAAAAACTTAACATTGTCAATAATCCATGTTTTAAAAAGTATAACAAAAATACCGAACTCTAAGGCAAATTCAAAAGGGGAAGTCCATAAAAACTGACAATATCGAACGCTATCAATCAACTGAACAAGTGAAAAACAACTGCTATTATTCTGACTTAGTACAGGCATTTTCGAAGAAAATATTGAGTTAAACCTGGTTTTATAGCTAACCAAACCTTCTACTTGTATGAAAGTTGTTTATAGATCCGTTATATTGACAAAATTGGTTGAGCAACTCAAACAGACATAATAGGTTAATGTGACAATAATTGTGATATGAAGTCAATGTCAGATGAACCGTAGACAACGGACATCTGAACTTTATATTCATTCCATACGTCAAATATGGTGGACTTTTTTCTTTATAGTATCTGAGAATCAGACCTAAATGAACTCTGAACTTAACAAAATGAACCGTGAAAATGATCTAAAGTTCAGAGAACAGACAGACATGTACACCAAACAATAATTCCTAAAACCAACTATAGTAAACCTATCATTATAGTGGCTGAAAACATATCTTACCACGAAGACTTAACGGTGACCAATGAACTATGAAAATGCAACAAATATAGTTGACCAATTACTTATAGTATCTGAATGTACTTACATATGTACATGTTACCATAAAATCTTAACGTTGACCATTCATTTGTAAAAAATTAGATCAGACGAACTCTGCCAGACAGACATGAAAACCTTACCATCATTCCATACACCTAATTCAATTGACCTATTGCTTATAATATCTGAGAAACAGATCAAACCACAAAAAACATAAAATTGAGCAACGAACGATGCAATTGAGGTTAGGTTAGATGAAACCTGCTTAACGGACATGTACACCTTACAATCATTCCATACACCAAATTTAGTTGACTTTTGCTTTAAGTTTCTGAGATACGGGCTTAAATAAGAAAACTTAACCTTGATCGTTGATCCATAAAATGAGGTCAAGGAAGGATGAATTATTTCTGATGAACATAAAGACCTTGCGCGAAATTCACGTTGCAAATAAACCACACAGTTTTTAAGCTGTCGCTGAGATATAAAACAAGATCAAAGACAATGGTCATATGGCAGAACTGCAGACTATAAGGCATCTGTAAACAAGGTATGAAGCATCCATTTTTTCCTCTGATGAAATCCAAAGCTTTATACAAATACTGTACCCACCATCGCCGTTGCCAGGTTTGCCACCTGAATAAAACCTCTTAAACTTCAAATCGGTTATAAGTTTGTTAAAAGTTTGTGTTTGTAAAGTTTAGATTTTTCAACAACAATATGTCGTACATATAGGTTAATATTTCAAAAAGAGAAAGCATATTTAATATTGACAAATTTTGACAAATGCAGGCAATATTTATTCAAGACAACAAATGTGTAACTGTTTTCAGATCGAATACAAGTTCAAGTTGGAGAAAGACTCCGTTCACACTTGGACATTCAGATCGATTCAAACTATCGGTTCACTTTAGATCAATTTAAGCCCAACATGAACGCTTTGAATCGATTTTGAATCGGTCTAAACTAAAACACCAATGAGGTAGTTTAGTTTGGATCGATCTAAAGTGAACTGATATAACGTTAGATGACAAAGCAGAGATCGATCTAAACTAGTGCGATTGAATCGAAAATAATTTGTGCGCATTTATGGCGGCAAAATTACACGTGCAATTTATTAAAAAATGGATGACCAACATAAAAGGGCTGAAAATTAACGAAAACTATACGAACAGCAGTATCAACATTTTAACTTGTAGTTCAAGTGAAACAATGACTTCATCCATTATTGTTTTGCAAGCGTGTGTATCAACACGTTTATTTGATTATATACTTCTATTTATATACAGTACTTGTTTACAATTTTACGGTTGATTAGGTCAGATCGCTTGCATTTTTACTTTTAGCACATACTTACAAATTCTCGTCCAATCAAATTGCTTGAACTTGCCTTCTAATTTTCATAGTACATAACTTTTTCCGTGTACTAAGTAACTACGCATGAATGACCACAATGGTAGGATTTCATTGTATCGTAATCAAGATATTGAAACAAAAATTGCCACTGGCTATTTTGAAATAAAATGCTGTGTTCCAAATTAAATTAAATAGTTTTTAGAACATACTCACCCCTTCTCGTCCAATGAAAAGTCAGTGTTTTCCCTTCTAATTTTCATAGTACATGGCTTTCCATGCACTATAAAATGCTTTACATGAATGACTTTTCATTGTAGATTAGTTATGAAAGGGAACTCTTTTAAAATAACTACACTAACGAAATGTACAATCCCCTGAGGCATCTTGGGAAAATAGCCTACTGATTAAAGATGAAAGAGAACAGAATTATAAAAAACATTTTGAATTTTGCAAATGTTTATCATGGTACATATATATAACAAACAAAAAATGAAATGGGGGCAAAGATGTAGGTGAAATAATCTTTTTTTTTCAATTTTGATACCAGACATTCGAGTCAATTATTATTTTTTTTTCTATCAAGAAAACAATGTCAGACTGCTGATATATAAAGCAAAGGATTTTTTTTCGAAAAAACCACAATGCATGTACATTCATCAATAAAAGGTAAGCATCTGATGTTGAATGGTTGTAATTCAAATATTTATAGAGTGAGTTTTATAATTATAAAAAAATAATTTAATTTTGGGTGTAACGCCTCTTCTGATTGGCTGACGGTGTTTTATTTATCAGCTCATAGACATAATTTAGTCATGTGACCGTGACGTCGTCAACGTTTTTTCATGATTTACTCCGGTTTAAAATGGAATTTAGAATTAAATTATAAGGAATGACTGTGATATTTTTTCTGTCTATTCGAAATAACATTAAAAATGTGGTGCACACTTTAAAATAACACGCTACGCGGGTTATTTAGTGTGCACCAAATTTTTGATGTTATTTCTTCATAGACAGAAAAAAATATTACAGTCATTCCTTAAATATACATATTTCAAAAAGCTGATTTATATCACATTGTGTGCTTTTTAAAATCAAGAAATTTAAGGTATATAAGTATTAAATTTTACCTGAAGCAGAAGAAAAACTCAATGTTTGAACAATTTATCCTTTTTGTCCTCACAAAACTATGTTAGTGCTATTTCATTCCATCCATTGAAATAATCATTACCTATGTTATACATTCCGTTTTTTAACCTAGACCCCGTTCACACTTGCATTTTTTTTAATCGATCTAATTTAAATCGATCTAAATAAAACCAGTTAGTGTTCACATTATCTTTAATCAAGATGGTCTCTATCGGTCTAATCTGAACCACTGCGATCATACTACAAGTAAAAATGCAATCGATCTGACCCAATTACCCGTAAAACTGTAAATATTGTGTATAAATAGAAATAATTAATAAAATTTATGTGTTGAAACACACACTTAAAAAAAATGGACGAAGTTATTGTTTTCTTGAATCACAAGTTC